ATGAAATAGTACACTTTACCTTCACATCAAATTGGATAAATAAACTTTTCGGTGAAAATAAATAAAAAAATAAGTTTATTATAAAGTTCCTTACCGCTGTTATAAGATTTCCATTGCTAGCTGGTCATTGCGAATAAAATTATAGGCGGCATATAAAATCAACCTTTGATTGATTTTATAGAATTCCTTACCATGTTTTCGTGCGAAGACAGACAAAAAGCCTTTTTATGAGTGCCATATTGACCTCACTAATTAACTGTTTATTGCAATAATCCTCAAAAGTCCCATATAATGAAGCCTAAGCAAAATATCTTATTAGATGTTTACCTCCAAACAGACGTTCCATGCCTAATTTAGGTCCTTTTACTGTTTCTTATGTTTGCTTGTTGATTTTAATCTAGATAAACATCAGTCCAAATTATATAAAAGGAATCATTTCTTAAACTATGAAAGTAAGTGAAATATATTTATGATATACATATAGTAATTTTATCTTTTATCCATTCAGCGCAAAAACGGCTGAAGTTAACTGTGATAAGTATGAATTGATCAATGTTGACACAGTCTTGTAAGATAACAGAAAAAATGTAAAATTTCCTATAAAGAAAAGGACATAAAGGTCAATATTCGTAGACAGGACACATCAGTCAGACATCCGTGGAGAATACATGCCTTCAATGGAGTCCCTGTCATTGAAATCCCTAATATAAAATTAAAATCAGGAATGAATAATATTGTTATGTAGAGATTTCTTGGAGCGTTTTTATCGGCTTACAACCTACGCATCTTTTCGTTTATTTCATCATTATTTGCTTTCATTTCGTTGTTTACTTAAACAAGAAAACAATGTGTTGTCATTTAGACTTTGTGTTATTTTCCACAAATTGTAGTACACACATGTTTTTATATTTCTATCTATTAAATTGAATAAAGTAATTTTAATGTTTTGAAGTAGAATATGAAAAGTTATAAGAAATAATGTAAACAATTTTGTAAAACGGAAAGAAAATTTTCTCTTTTTCAAAGTTGCTCATGATTTCGTTTAAAGAAATGAAAGTTCTCATTATGATTAAGATACAACATGATTAGATAATACTATGACAAGTGTTTCAATTTCAATCATCCGGGTCGGCGAGGGGTATCTATAACAACATAAATTGTTTAAATTGTTCCATACAATTGTTTTACAATGTTTGACAATGATCTTTATGTTTGTTTGATTTTGTTTTACTTTGGCTTCTTTGCAAAAGCCTGTTCTTTACTTGACCAACACGCATTGATAGGTGCAACACACTTTTGACATTCGGGATATCAGAAGAGCAGGAATAATGGTTAATTAACTCTGTGGACTACTGATTTACACAATATCCTATATTTTGTTGTAAGGTAGCATATCAACAAATATGTCAGTTTCGAAATTTATTAAAAACTATATGAATAAGATTATTTAAATTATGATATCAGTATCGCTAGTTATTGTTCAGATTTATTTGCACAGCTTTTCACATGTCTATTTTTATGGAACACTCCGTAACATTTCTCTTTCTAATTTCGCCATTTATCTTATCCAGTTTGCAATTAAAATGTCGAAAACCGAGACGATTGCTCGTATTCAACTTTATAAAATGGCATTTTAAAGAATTATTATATATTATGATTGTTAACTGAAAGGAAATATCTTTAAAATATATTGAGCCGTTATATTTATTTTTATTAATATTTGTTCTTTAGTTTTGAACTTGTCGATTAATACAAAACTACTGTAACGTGTCATATTTGCCAACTTAGTTATGCCAAAGTTGCCACGATATTTCAATACAAATGAGCCGCGTCATGACAAAACCAACATAGTGGGTTTGCGACCAGCATGGATCCGCGCAGTCTGATCAGGATCCATGCTGTTCGTTATCAGTTTCTCTACTTGTTATGGAGTTTGCGCAGGCTGATCTGGAACCATGCTGGTCGCAAACCCTGTCATGGCGCGGCTCAAATATACTGCCTTTCGTACAATTTTCATTTAAAACATTCAATCGTTTGTTACGATTATGATGTGTTGGTTATTGTCTTTTAAGTGATACCTATTGTAGCTTTAAAAGTTCACAGCTGTAAATAGCTGTCAATAAGAAATTTTATATTATAGAATGCTCATATTTCAAATGTTAAAGAGATCATCTGGCAAAAAAACTGTGAACTCACTTCCCTTGACAAAATTATCATTTATATAAACCTTTAAACATTAACGTATCATACGAGAATTATGTCAGACTTGAATAAGTGCATGATAACATAATGATTTATAATGCAAGACATATTGATAAAGCTTTTATATAAAGAAGGACATCAAAGAGTTCAATGAGAGCAAAAATAAAGCTTTCTCTTAATAACCTGCCTTAAGATTTCATTTATCAAATGGCAATATTTAATATTCATGTAATGTAATATTTAAAAAGAAAATTGATAAATTTAACAACCAAAATTAGAGAGAATATATAATGATAAATTATTATGTTTTTTTCCATTTCGTTTAACGTTAAGCGTTAACTTTTTTTTCACACATGCCTGTTGTGGTTATATAAACATTGGATACATAGAAATTTATAGAAAAAATGACAGAAATTTTGAAATTAACTCTTTTATGTTGAACGAAAAGGTAGGGCAAAGAACAGACTTAGAATAAGAAAATAATAGTAAAAGGTATTATGATAGTATTGAATTACATCGCAGTCGTTTATGTGTCACCTATCAATATATTAATATTGTTATGAATGTCATGGATGCTATAATAGCGACATATTTTGTTTTTAGTATCATGATATTCAGATACGTGTAAATATTGATATGCAGTATAACCAACCATTGGGTGAATAGCGAATATTAACGTGTATTTACAAAAATATTTCATGAAAATTATCTACAGTAAATAATGGCAGGATCATGGACACTATGATGAATATCATGGAGCGTTGGTCTGCTTCAAGACATAATATGTCTAAGACAACTAAGATTAGAAACAATAACAATTTTCTTATCATTACAGTCGGATAAAACTTTACAAACAAACTAAAGTTGATTATTTAATTAATTTGATCTTGATTTTGGATATGTTTTTTTAGATATATTGCATGCACTGGTGACATCAGGAAAACAACTTTAAAACACATTTTCAAATATGAGCATGTTCATGAAAAAACTTAACTGGAACCTCTCAGCTATTGGCAATAACAACATCGGACTACTGATTGAAAGTAGTTCTACAACGTGATTTAAGATTTTAACAAAACAAAGAGTGTGTTATCTTTGATAATGTAAAATGGATGTATATATTTGACATCCAAAGGAAAAGAAAGTCTATTTCAGTAGAATTATGATTGATTGAACATATGTCTGACAATGATGGTCCATTTAAAAATGCCCACTGATGTACAAATATAACCAAATGTGAATAAATATCAACAGGTAGACATTTGTACAACCACAATAATAAGTTTATAAATTATATGCTGTCTATGTGCATCTGTTTATAGTGTAGCAATGACCCTGTGGACTGTGTATGGGAAAATTCATAGACAAATATCATGGTTTATTGAAAACGGGCAAATTTATTTTTGCCAAAAATAACATAACAATTATATACATATTCAAAATTCCCCATTTCTGGGTGAAAAGTAACGCTATAAGTTATAACAATTATATACATATCAAATATTGTGAAACATACTGTACAACCAAAAATGTTATACATATACCATATAACATTTACACATTACGTATTAAAATATTCACTCATTTAAACGAACACGGTCAAAATGTTATCCGTCGAAACTATTGTTTAAAAGAGTAATGAATAACAGACGTAAAACACATTGAGAGGAAGGAAAATGAGAGGTTTTGGTAAATTAAAATTATATCTGTAAATCTTCTCTTAATCTATGTGGACTGTTACACGATACATTGGTATAAATATAGCATTAAATTACATTTTGTGTACATGATAAGTTTCTTAGCATGTCTTAGACCGAAATAACTTATCCGTTCTGTGAAATCATACTTTTGTTTTTGTGGTGGTTATCCAAAGACTGACGGAAAGCGTCGAAAAGTTGCGATTGAAAAAACGCCATCACAATGAGGATCAATTTTAAGTTTGAGTTTCATATGAACCTTCAAGAACACATTAAATAGTTAGTGAAAAAATGAAATAATATTAAGGTACTTAAAGCATATAACATGTAAAATGTTATTAATTATTTATTGCACTGGATCTAATTGATGGCTTATTATGTGAAGAAATGAAAATTAAAATGTTTAATACCAAATGGGCAATAATAAAAACAATTGATCTGAGGTTTAATAAGTTTCGAAGAGTAAAATTGGCCTTTTTAGGATGATCTGAAACACACATTTCTCATTGCGTACGGTTATAAACATCATATTATTATTAATGTGAGCATTTCTTTTATAAACGATATTAACTTTGAAATAAATTAAAGCATGACTTGCATTATTTCATTTCTGTATATGTTGACAAGTACAAGCTGATCTTTAATTTATAAAACCGTATGTTTACTAATTCTATCAAATTAAAAAACAAACAATGCTTATGTATATGTCATGAAGCATGCGGCATCCATTCATGACATTTAATATATTCATTAACTATGTCAGTATTATATCTCTTAATTTCTTCTGATTTATTACACTCATATACAATGTAATGCTCATTGATTGTACGAGGAAACAAGTACAGTTTGCTAGGGAAAATGCCACCTCAACCATGTTGTAGAAAGATAGTTAAATTTCATTGACATATAATGCTGGAGAATATTTCATAGGTGAACATTTGCAAGAACCTTACAAAGAGACAATAACAAGATATATTATAAAGGCGGGGGAAGAACATATAAGAGCATGTACCTTGTAGAGGAATGATACCTCATCGTAGCTGACACAACTGATGAACGGAGGAATTATTGGATAGCAGACTCGGGTGAGAGAAACTCTGTCAATTATTCAATGACATCTAAATAGTGAAGATTCTCTGTGTGGCTTGTATCTGTTCCTTTATTTGTTTTTGGCATTTGGTAATCTGTATTTAATAATGTGAAAGTATTTTTTCTATCAGAGAAATAAAATGTGGTTTAATTAATAACTTGGATAAATACACACGGGACAACAATGGTACTATTTATATTGTGCTCTTTCATGGTTAATTGGCTGTTATACTTTCTAAAAATGTCATGTAGCATTATATGACCTACTCAAGATAACACGTTGAAAAATATTACTTCGGACAAATGTTTTATTCTTAATATTTTATTACTTCAAATAAAAAGAACGAAACAATTTGATATTGACAGTAAACTGCCATTGTATACTCAAGACATAATGTGTTTTTTGCCAATATGCATTGCAAAATATGATTTCAATATATGCAAAGAAAGATGTATTAATTGAGCTATGTATCATTTATACTGTTAATACTGATAATTAAATTATCATTTTAAAGTATTATAAATTTGCACGCAAGTAATTTGGATTAAAGTTGATATTTTAATATCTCAATATTTTTTTTTGTTTGTTTTAAAGAATGATCGTAATAACGTTAGTAATATGTTTGAAAAATTGAAGCGGGTAAGGTTTGGATGTTCTTTAGGGATTCCTAAGTAATAAGCAGTTAAATCCAAATATACAATCATTAATTTTAAAGTAGAGAACTTCAAACAAAGATTATTTCCCTCCTTATGAGTAAAACATTCTATACATTTGAATCGTAATGAAAAAACACTTTAAAGAAAGGTAGTGTGAAAACTTAATATTGCGTGGTATACTTTAAAGAATAGTTTTCCAGACATTTTGGAACACAATCTATTAACGATAATTGTTAAACGAGTTATGCCTACAAGTTATATCACAGTTTTGTAAAAAAACATTACCAAGTTAAGATAGTATATGTAATGTTCTGTGTTGTTACATTTTTTCATGAAAAGTAATTGATTACGGACCCAAATAAACACCAACGTGAATCTGCTTTTCATTACTTTTATTCTTTTCTAGATGGTACTGGACATTTAATTTTGAAATATAAGCAAATCTTATCATCCAAGGTTTGAGAGTTATTCTTTTAGTACCACATCCCGTCTTTGCATTTTTACCAAAATTTCAATTACCATGGCATATTTACAGGAACTATTTTTGCATATGAAAGAAGTTTATGGAAGAAATTATTTATGTTTTTGTTTTTATTTGGACAAAGTGACTTTAAAAGTAACAAATGATCATTGCTGATGTTAAAAAAAACCCATCTTAAATAAGTGCATGTTCGTGAAATAATTCTCCTTTTCACAGGCACACTAACGACACATCCTACCTTCTAAAAACTACAACAATATCGTATAAATAAGTTGTTAAAATATAAAACACTTTTATCACCTAGAGTTTTTGCTATAACAGTTTGAATTTGATACATATGAAATGCTGCTTGGCCAGAGTTTCTTATTTGCATTAAAATATCCTTTATGTACATTCATTTCTACTTTTAAACCTATTTTACTTTTTTTCTTTCAATTTCCTGGACCGGGATTTGAACTCCAGACTTCTCACTTCCAGATTTCAGATTTTATTTTCAATATATGCAAAAGCAAGCATGTTATCCCTGGACCGCAGGCTTCCAATATAGATATCAGGAAAATGTTAGAAGAAAACCAAAATAATTGTTTATTTAGAATTTGCATTAGGGTTTGTAATCGGTTTGCAAAAGGTTGTGTAGTTATTTATTTTCCATTGTAAGTAACATATAAAAAGCTATTTCGAAATGTATCAAAGATAAAATACGAAAACCATAGCACGCTCTTCACTTCGTTAAACGGGTAAGTTGTATAAAAATGATTGTTCAAAATTGCAAGGATATTTTTGGGTCATGCAACGTTTCTCCCCAAGATATTAAAATTATCCAATTAATCTATTAATGACTTAATAGGACAGGTTCATTTTGTTTTATAAAAGATTCATGAATGAGAAAAACGATAGCGCATTTAAAAAGATCCATTTTGTCTTATAGATAACATGTTTTTTAAGGGAAACCCCCAAAAAATTTTTTTTCCCTTGAAAAAAAAGAAAAAAAATTTGTTTTTTTTTTGGGAAAATAATTTTAAAAAAAAAAAATTTTTCCCGAAAAATTTGATCCCCTATTTTTTATAAATACCTTCTTTATTTTTTTACCTTGTTTTATTTGAATATGATACATATTAACAAAATGAAGCACATTATTCAAACAAGATGGAGGTTTCATTTATCCCATTTATTATTTCCTTAAATAACAAATTCACTTTTTAAGATATAATTTTTCACAAAAAATAAGTCGGGTAATGACAAATTATTTTATTTATAATGACGTCAATTTAGTTACAGAAACAGCAGCTTTGAAAGCACCGAAATAGAAACAAAGTTCTATTTTTGTTTTTAAACCGTTTAAAGCAAATCAACAAAGTCCCTTAAAGCCAATAGGTGGTCTTTTGATGTTTTCAAAATATATTTGTAATATATTTTTCGTTCATATTTTCTCCTTTTTTAAAATCTAACAATGCAACACGTTGATGATATTAGATAAATATTTGGGTCTCAAGAGACAGATCTCAGAGAAAGTAATCATTTTTATTTTATTTTTGAACATCATATACTACTTAATGCGGTGCAAGGAGAGATGTGCTACGTTACTTTACCATCAAAGCTAATAAACATACTCATTACAATAATATTAACTTGCAATTTGCACAAATTCTATGAATTTTATTACACTCCAGGGATCTTAATATTTCAGAATGATTGGAGCTTTGACACCTGAAAAGTAATAAAACGATTCCAACTCTGACACCAGTTAATGTATGATTAGTTACATTTTAACAGAAAGCACAGTCTTTTTTTAACGTTAAAGGAACTCCAAGGAGGTCAACAAGCCTAAACAGATAAAATTTGAATTTCTTACATAGATCAGCAAGGGCACTTTAAACTTGAAAACATGCAAAAGATAATTAAGAAATATACTTTTAAAACTCGAATATTTATTTATAGTTTGGTTTTACGGCGCAGCAACACAATATAGGTTATTTGGCGCCGAAACAGAACAAATAAATTTAGTTTTACAAAACCTAAAAAATAACAGGGGACAAATCTACCTCACCTGCTGGAGCTAAGAGATGCTTAGACTGCAATAATTGAAACCAATTTAATCGCTTCGTAAGATCACGTATGGATAAACTATGGCTGTATTTCTTCTGCCTAAACAATTTAAGTCAACCCCTCAGTCACAAGGGGTCTTTTCCATTTTAGGTCATTTTTACAATAAGAATAATTATTCTGGGCGAATGATAAAAGATTGTGCACACATGTTATCGGTCGCGACCTACATCAAATGGAACATTATTCTCGAAAACTTATTTCAAGTCCCGTAATCATTGTATGTAAAAAAAACCCACCGTGGAAACCATTTAATGAATAAATTGTTTCAAATGTTGTTTTTATGTTGCAGATTGTTGGTTACAGATAAGGACGCCAGGAGTGATATGATAAATCAGGATAATAGTATGATAATGAAGCTTTCTAAAGGATTTACCTTTCCCTCCATCCTTCAAAACGTGTCATGGATACTTCTACTCTATACAGTAATTCTCCAAGTGTGTGCAGGTAGGTCTTGCAATGAATCCTTGTTACATGTGAACGTATGTTACATCTTTCCCATAAAACATAAATTTTGTTAAATTATTATTTTAAGTATCACAATATAACCTTATTTCTAAAGTGAAATACATAAATGTGTTATACAAAAGAAATTTAACAGGATTCCAAATACAAACTCCTTTGACGGTAAGAAAGTTCAAAGTAACGGTATACGTGTAGTAATTTTGCTTCCCCCGTTATTTCATTCATTTTCGTTTTCAAACTGTATTTTAATTTGTTTGTGATTTGTTTAGGTATTCCTATTTTGTTTTCCTTTTTCGTGGCAACATGATATCTAGAATTTTCAGACAAGGAAAATCCCAATTATAAAAAATAATGTGAGAAGGTTTTGTAATGGAGCAAAGTAATTAAATAACGTTTTACACCAATAAATCTGAGTCGTAAAGCTGCTTCAAGATAGATGAAAGCACGTTGTTCATTGTTTCTATTTGAGTTAAACCGTATATCGTTACGTGGAAAAGCCTTTTTTGAAGTGTGCTTGCTTTTACCACTTTAAGAAAAGCACGAATTAGGATGTAGTTAGGAAGTAACGCATAGACGACTTAGTAATACAGTGTATGATATATACAAAAGATATGTAATAATATTCGTACAATAAGGTCATGACGTATGGCAAGATGTTAACATTCTAGTATAGTTACTTTTTAATCCACGATAAATATTTATTTGTTCTGATTATATAGAAACAATTAATGACGTATAATAATAGATATTATGAATAGCTAATTAAAAGTGTGATTTCTTTATCATTAAATAATTTACATGACATATTAATAGTGATTATACACATTAGTTCGCTATTTTAGTTATTATTTCGTTTGACTTCAACCATCTATTGCCCGCCTTTTCACAATCAGATACTCTGTTTTCTAAGTGACTTTGTTGTGCCTACTGACCGAGACAACTTAACCACTCGCCTGCTGGCTGCAATTGTTATACACATGCGAGCAGTGCTGACCAACTAAGATCACCCGGCACATCAGGTCCGTGTGATCATGGTATACCCTGATTGTTATCCTGTCTGTACTTATTTTGTAAATTCCCTAAAAATGCGGAGAAGATAGACAAGTACGTTTACGTCATATAGCGTGATAAGGGTAAATATGTTAGTTTGATTTGTGGGGTAGTTCTCGTATTTGTATACATTTGACTAATTAAAATCATAATGTCATATGATCAACGGTATCAAATACAGACATTTTAGTTTTCTTGCTTCAAAAGCATTATCAAATTCATATTTAAACAAATATGCTACATTAGAATTAACATTTAAGAATTAAAATTAGACCACATTGACTTTTGTTGATTTGTAAATGGATGTAACATGATGCCTCAATTGCATTTTAAGTTACTTTTATTTCTTTAAGGTCAAGAACGACACTTATTTTCCAGAAATCATAAGTCATAATGCAAATACGAAATGCGATATTAAACAAAATAACGCATCAAATTAAATACAGAAACAATAAATATTTTACGCATTAAGAATACATCGCGTCAGATGTCTCACATGCAAAGCGTATCATATTAACAGCGTAGTTCTTTTTATCTCGAAACGATTGTTTATATTTTTATCTTAACATACCCCTAAACAATGTAAAATTTGTCCTATTGTAACGTTTTGACCGGGTCATTGTTCGGCGTTGATTATCATGTCCTTCTTAACGTCTTAACACAATTTATCAAGAATACAAATAAATCCTCAGAAAAAGTGCTTGTAAAAACAAATCATTCGTTGTGGTTTATGACGGTACATTTGATGTGAAAATAAACAAATGCTGGAAGGTCAGGTTTCGATTGACATACTTTGATGTGGAAATAAAGAAATGCTGGAAGGTCAGGTTTCGATTAACATTCAAAGACATTTAAACTTCATACAAATTGAGCTTTAAATCAATTATTATCGCAAATTACCGTCAGATTTTCTACCATCATTCACTTTAAAAATAACAGTAAATCACGATACAAATTTTCATAATAGTTTTGTGATATTTAAGTAGATATGTACTTATATACAGTTGTTTATTTTTCTGTACAGACAAGCACTAAGTAAACATAACTGACCACAGTTTAGATCATTTTAAACGAGTTGGTTTCAATTGGTTTTGTAAGTGTATATCTATCATAAAATGATTACTACTACAATCATTGAGAAAGATAGAGTGTTTAACCTAAATTACCACGAGGAGTGTCCATAAATTCAAAATAATAATAATCAAACATATTATCAAACCATAATATGAACAGGCCATATTCAATTCTAAATAATTCACAAAATCAAAATAACAGTACAATGGTTTATACGTCCTTCATTGTGACGAACAAAATGGTCAAAGTGTTTGAAGTTCAAAAGAGGAAATCGTGAAGGTCATCCATCACAACAAAATTTGACAGGTTGCAGGATTGATTTGATTGAGACCTGAATGGACGATGATCATTTGTATAACATGATAACTTTCCCACCCCTTACACCGGCATAAAATTAATAAAATCAATATTTATACATGAAATGATAAAAATATAAAATTTAGAAATAATTAGAGGTGTTTTTTATACGGCGGTCATCATGGAATCTTCAATGTGACGCTTCGTGTCAATCCACGTATAACGTTTTTAGGAATAAGAATTCGTATGGCTAAAATTGAGAGAACAATTTTTGGACCTAAATAAAATGGAAATTTGAAAGGGAATCAGTGAGTGTGATGTTTAACATTAAATTTTGATTAACATGTGAGTTGTATTCATTTTTGATTACCGGTATATTATCATGACAGATATCGTTTATATTTGCCAATTGTATCATAGAAATCCTATTGTTTTTGGTGTCTGGTTATAGTTCCACAAACTACATGTATAATTACTCATTGGCCAATTACCTAAAACACACTTGCTTCAGATGCGTTTTGGTATATGGATTCAGTATTTTGTATAAAAGTCAAAATGCTACTTAGTTGTTTACAAACATTTGTCTCCATTAATAATACATAATTTCATTTCACATACAACGCTTCTTTTGCAGTTAATAAGCATCTAACATGCTCTCACACCATTACTTAAATGTTATAAAAATATTTGTTCTTTGTTTAAAAGGAAAAATATCTTCGTTTTAAAAGCAATATGTGCCTTTAGCAATTATGTTTTTATTCTATTTCTAACATAATAGAAATACTGTAATATTCTAGTAATAACAATAAAATTGAACTATAAAACAATTATGTCGCAATTGTAATTTTATTTAGATTTACAGTCTACCACCTCATCTTTTTACACTATAATTTAAAGTAACAAGTTGGTCAAATATATTATTTTAATAAAAGCACTGAATGAATATATTGTGGCTCTTTTGGAATCAACATCACGAACGTCACAAAAGGAACTTTGTGAAATTGTTGTGATGATTTTACAATCTTATCATTTGATCATTTCTGGAAAGAACTCGTACAGAATTAATCTTGTCATTATCACCAAGCTTCTTTGATTAATGGTACAAAATAAATCACTCCATGATTTGGACTGGGGACAAATATTTTGTTATAGACTTAATATTAACAACACTAGCATTTGTATCAAGAAGAATTTATAGGAAACACTTGACAATACATCAATTATGTGTACTTCATAGCTATTGATCAGTTATAAGAACACCTTCTGAAATATGAAAAAACTGAAAATACCTTCTGGCAAAACTCGTATACACGAGCCAACTATTTTTGAATAGTTTTGTCTTTGTTAACATATGATAAATCCTTTTGATATTTGTTTAATGTTTTCATTCATAAACAAAAGATATCAAACGTGTGTCAATCACCTATAACCTGAGGCATTCTTCATTTAATATTATTATACTTCCACACATGATACCCAGGGAATTGAAAACAAGAGTTTAAGACAAATGATATATAAAATATATACTCCAAGAATCTAATGATTGACTTTTTCAAGCAAATTGAAATGATATTTGAATCTAAAATATTTATGCTTTGATTGTTCACTTCATAAGCGATTACTAAATTCGAAATATAGAGGAGCTTAATTGATCACGGAGACTGCAATGGCGGTACTGATTACATGTAATGATGTCTTTGAAATAAAGTGTCAAAGAGACCTTTTCTCCGAGTTGTTTAGCTATTTATCTTAAAGCATTGAACATCAGAAATAATATAATAATTTAACATTTAATATTTGAATGCCACTAACAAAAACTTTATTGACTGTCAAAAGTCTCAAGAAAATAAAGTCTTCTGGTCAGGCAAAAGTGTTATATTGTAAAATATGCACACTGGCACGCAGTTTTCATGCACATTGGCACGCAGTTTTCATGCAATCATATCTCACACTTTAATTTTAAATGCAAAAATATTTATACAATTTAAACATGATATTTGTATAACGACAGATCAGAGATCTGCCAAACATACTTGCATGTATCATTATCCTCAAACCCTAAATAAATGCTGATTTATTTTTTAAGATCAATACCGTCGCAGGGTGGATTTTTGTCTTACTTCAATATTCAAAACCAATTGTCACAGTTTATACAAAAAATCAGTTATTTTCTGGCACATATGTCCAGACAAGGAAAATATCTTTCGGTTTTGAGTGTTCATATATACTACTTTGTTGTTTAAGAATCTGTAAATATGCAAATAAAAACTATATAAACAGTACAAAATAATTTGATTATTTTGATTCATTTCAGATATAATCGTAAATGTCGTAAAATTTTACATGTATTGCTAAATTACGTAATATGTGATAGAAACCGAATGGCTTGATATTTCTTAAACCACAGTATTTTACTTACTGGGTTTGAGAAGTTGAATAAATGTAATTGAAATCTACGAACAATAAGAAATGAGATATTAAGCGCGACTGTTGTACGGATTGATCTTCTGCTTGAATTACTCCGCGACATCAAGCCCTTTTAAGAATGGACTCCTACATAT